TGTATACACTTTATCACCTTAGGGCAATGCCTCTCGGCCCTCTGTCAGTAGCAGTCGTTGCCGTAGTGCACCACCCAGGGATCTATCTCCAGATGACGAGGAGCTGGATGATTTTACTTCTAATATAAAAATTGAAAACGTGATGTTTTAATTGATATGGGAAACCAGAGGGAACCTACAGACAATTGCATTAATGTCAATACATTTAAATGGATGGAACATCTCTGATCTTGATGCAAAAGCTGGAAAGATTCAGCAATCTTTTGTGTTTTGCAAATACATTCAAGGATATATATTGTATGACATCCTATTTTTCTCTTGTAAAATCTCATCTCTAACATTTACCTTGTATCGTACCTCGCAAAAGGATTTATCTCCCAATCTGCAGAGGCCAGTGCATTGTGTTTTTAGTGGAAAGGGCATTTTCCTTCTCTCACACGTGGCTCGTCTATCTCCCCTGACCACTGCTGTTTCCTTGTGTGACCAGCATGACTCCTGACGGATCACCGGTGCACCAGATCCTGCCACATCAGTTTGGACACAGCCGCTGTCCTGCTGATAAGAGCATATGGCTTACACCAAAACCACCACCGCGTTTCTCAGGCACAACAACAGCTACGAATCAGCTTTGTTTAATGCTGGAAAAACATTCAATACTTAACGTGCCCACCTCAAATTTGTGTGACAATGTGTGAACTTGTTTGGGACTTGGATTGACACGTGGAAAATGTAAACTTTGTTTTATTGAATCTAAGGTAATATTTCTTGCAGTACCAACATTATACCAACGCTATTCATGAAATCTATGTAACTAGTTAATCACTTTAAAACTAGTTTTCACATACATGCATATTTTTTTTCCTCTGTCACAATTTTCAATCAGCTTTTTCTGACTGAAAAGTGAGAATGAGAGGACCACCCTGGCTCTACCAATCAGATTTCAGCCCAAACTATCAAATTGTGAATTGCTTTTTATTAAAAATAAAAAATAAAAAAAGATGACATGCTGTGATTTGTTGACTACATTTCACTTTCTGTTGAAGCAGGAATGTCATTACCCATGCTTTCACTTTCTCAAGACTGAATCCCTGAGAGTCCCACTGATGCCCTTGCTCCAAAATCCTCAACATTTTCTTACGTGAAAAAGTTGCTCTAACTTATAAAAGGACATTACTGTAACTTAAAATCTCCATATTGCTGAAATACAGAAAATTCCACTAAGCTGCAATTATATGAAAAATGTCACTCATTAAATTATGTTATTATTATTCATCTTTATTAAGGACACAACAATAAGGTCCATCTTTAAAAAAAATAAAAACAATACATGCAATATAAATTATGCAAAACTGAACGAAAATGCACACAGAACCATGTCCACTCCACTCTTTTTAAGAATATAATGATAAAAAGTCTGTCGCATTTTGGTCAGCAGAGGAAAAAAAAAATAGGGACTGGTTTGGGTCGAAAGAATAGAAGCGATGTCCTTTACTATATATTTATTAGTTACATTATGACGATAATTTTACATGAGTTTCGCTATAATTTGGGTTAAATTTTAGATTGAAGCAAAACTGCAACAAATATAAAGTTAATCAAATTGTTTTAAATTAATCTATTTAACTTATAATGATGTATAACATGCCTGGGCCGTCCATTACCATCAATACTCCAAGTTGATTTAATTTTATGGGCCAAAAAAATGGTCTATAGGAAAAATAGTTTTTCCCTAAAATATACTTTAAAACGGGAAAACTCCATTTTAGTGTTGTAATCTCTCACAGTAATATCTCTTGTATTTGGAGTTATGGTGGCTTCATTTCCACCATAAGGACTGCTCATAACTGTAATGGTCTATTAGCCTCAAAGTGACAGCTCTATCATTGCAAATAGCAGCCATCTGTTTAGCCACGCTCTCATTTGTTTCCACTTTATTATTCCACAAATTGCTTCATATTGTTGTTTCACGTATATTTCCTCAAGCCCTATCTCTATAAAAATAACTTAACATGCATAGTTCCCCTTCTATGCTTGTACAGATTATGTCTAAAAACAAAACTTTCAAAACAGCTTGACATTTGCATATATTTGTATAACTGTGTATAAGTGTGTACCTCGGCTGACCCCGGGCCCCGGATCTTGTGTCGGGACAGCCGCGGTTACAGTTGTTGCTTTTGTTTACGCTCTCATGCTAATTCAATTACTTGGATCGGAGCGGGGATAATTAGCATGCTAGCGCTAATAGCAAGTAGGGGAATCCAATTGGATATTACTGTAATGATGCCTTTGCGTTATTGTGCATGTGCTTCGTACAAGGGAAGATGCGGGAAAGCCCATGAGTTTATCTATTTATACAGGCCTGTCTACTGCAAATACAAATACTCTTCTCCAGTACTACTTCCACTACCTCTAGAAATACTGTACACTCTTCTCCATTACTACTTTTTACTTCAAATACTACTACTGCTTCTAGAAATACTATTCTCCATTGCTACTACTACTACCGCTACAAATATACTTTTCTCCATTAATACTACGACTGCTTCTACAAATACTCCTTTCCATTACTACTACTACTGCTTCTACAAATACTATTCTCCTTTACTACTACTACTGCTTCTAGACATACTCTTCTCCATTACTACTAGTACAGATAAAATATTCTCCATTGCTACCAGTACTGCTTCTTGAAATACTCTTCTCCGTTACTACTTCTACAAATACTCTTCTCAATACATTTACTACTTCTACATATACCCGTTTTAATTTCTACTACTACTACTTCTACGGATATTCTTCTAAATTACTACTTCTTTTAAAATTATTCTTCACCATTACTACTACTCTTACTACTACTACTTCTAAAAATATTATTTTCCATTTCTACTACTGCTACTGCTACAAATTCCCCATCACTACAAATACTCTATTACTACGACAAGTGAACTACTACTGCTACTACTATCATCTGTAACTACTTCTACTTTACTCCTACTCTCTTCCCAGTAGATGCATGTGTGAATAATAAGTCCAGCCCTGTTGATTTGAATAATCAAGGGTGACAGAAAGGGCATTGTTGATCATGCAATATTCAGAGCTGTATATAAAAAACATAATTAACATTCCTTTGCTCATGTGAGATAAAGATGGCTGTCGTGTCACCTCTTTCTTCACAGGTTAATGGGATTTTCATTGTAAGTTAGTGTCAAACTTAATGAATTCCACCCATTGTTGTGTTTGCGTTATAGCTGTGCTAGTGTGTCAGTGAATCTCATTATACACGCTGTATTTAAATGTTTCTTTGTTCTGAGAGTTTTTGAGGTATTAACCTTGTTATGACATCACTAATGCATATGGATTTATTAGCGCCATCTTATGTGCACACTCTGGGAATCTTGTTCTTCTTCTCAGAACGCTCAGTGTAGAATCTGGATGTTTATTGACGGCATAAACAAAGAACGGCATGTTTTTCCCGCAAATTTCAACTCCCAGTCTTCCCCAGTTTTCTTCAATTCAATTAATATAATGGCCACACATCCCATTTGAATGTTTTTTTTGTTTAGAAAAAAATATTTCTCTCCAATAGAGATGTCAGGAAATGGACCCAAATGTTAATTTTCTCTTTTTAAATTGGCTTGGTTGTTTCTGATTAACTTTTTTTTCTGTCATCTTGTATTGATGTAATGTTGAAAGTGCCATGGGTGAGGGGAAAAAGGCAGTTTAGATCAAACTTGTTAACACTGGCACCATGAGCCCAGGAGCAAAAGTTGATATCTTTTCCTCATTAAATACGTTTATCTCAGCAATGTCTTTCATCCAGTTTCTTCAACAGGAGCTAAAGTAACACTACACGCTCTCGCTCTCTCACATGTGACTGCAGGCTACTTCAACATCGTCAGGTTTAATTAAGACACAAATTACTGCTCTAATCTTTCCATCTTCTTTTTAGTTGAGTTTAGTAACAAAGTGTGATGGCTATACTTATGCTTAATATAAATGTAATGTAAATGTAAAGAAATTATATGTTACTCCCCTTTAACAATGCTGTGAGGTATTGGACATCAACTTATAATATAATTGAATTGTAGTTAATCATGGTTTCTAAACTATTCAGAGAGAATGAGTCATTAGTGCCGGCACATAATTACGTTCATTATTAGTATTTCGCTGCTGGTTGAGACGAAGATGAAAGAGAGCTACTCCTTTTTAAGTGGTCCTGGGAAAAAAGTAGTTAACATATTGGAGAACAGTGATCGAGAAATAAGTTTTTTTATTACATATGCATTACTATGACACAAAGTAACTATAGCTGTGAGCAGGTGAAAACTACATGTGGAAATATTCAGTATGTTATTGATTTCTCTCCAAATAATTCTTTACTACCTCCTGAGCTACAGGTTGGAAATCCCTGTTCTAGTTGGTATTTATGTAGTTATAAATAATTGTGTTTTCAACATACACATCTATACTGGTCATTGGCCAGAATAAGTTGGCCGACCACCACCACACACCAGACTCATACTCTGCAATGAACACAACAACAGTTATGCACTTCTTTCAACCATAGCCACCCGACTATGGCACCTGGTGTTCCCATCACAGTACCTAACTAGGCCCAACCCTGCTTAGCTTCTAAAGTCTGATGAGATCAAGCTTTCACCTGCAGGTGACGCCACAATAGACATTTTTTACCACTTGTCGAGTGAATAGTACGCAGGTACTATGTGTGTGTTTTCAGCTATAACCGGTGCAGAACAAATCCAACCAATATCTACGTAACCAGTATGACCAATATATGGATTACTTTGTTTAGCCAATATTGGTTTAATTTGGTTGGGAAATCTACTAATCTATGTGTTTTTTAGCGTTGGCCTCAATATGACTATTGAGGGAAGGTGTGTGTCAACTCCTCAAATCACTCATTTAAACTTGTGCTTATGCAAATGTGACTGCAGCGCAACACCGCTCTGACACTGAAATTTATTCTATCCCTTTTTTAGATGCCAAAGCCTGCCCGAGCAAAGAGTTTGCCTGCCGTAATGGGAAGTGTCTGTCCCAGATCTTCGTTTGCGACGGCGACGATGACTGCGGAGACGCCAGCGATGAAGAGAAGTGCTCGGCGCCCACTTGTGGCCAACACGAGTTTCGCTGCAACGACTCTGAGTGCATCCCGGCGCTGTGGAGCTGCGACGGAGACCCCGACTGCAAAGACAAGTCCGACGAGTCCATGGAGAGGTGCAGCCGCCGGACAGAAGCCCAAAAACCCCGCTGTCCTGTGGGGGAGTTCCAGTGCAGCAGTGGGGAGTGTGTGCACATGAACTGGAAGTGTGACGGAGACGCAGACTGCAAAGACAAGTCTGACGAGGAGAACTGTCGTAAGTTTCACTCTTCATTTACGTTTAGGAATTGTGCGTTCTGGATTTTAACTCCCTAAACCCTAAACCTGACCCTAACTGGGGAAGGAGGAGGGCTTTGACACAGGTAAAAGTGAATGAGCTGATGAGAATTGTGGTTAAAGGACAACTCACCCTCAAATCCACTTTTTTTTGCTGATAAACGGTATAAATGAGTGTCCAATAGTGTTGTCTACATATCCTGGTCATAATTTTGTCACTTTGGTGCAAATTAGTTGAAAGTTAAACTTTCTGCCTAAAACCGTCTGTGAGGCGCCATCTGCTGGCAACCTGTATTACTACATTTGAATTTTTAATCTGGCGCCAACACTGGCGCGGCAGCAAGACCTGACGTCTGAAGCAAGACCTGACGTCTGAAGCAAGACCTGACGTCTGAAGCAAGACCTGACGTCTGAAGCAAGACCTGACGTCTGAAGCAAGACCTGACGTCTGAAGCAAGACCTGACGTCTGAAGCAAGACCTGACGTCTGAAGCAAGACCTGACGTCTGAAGCAAGACCTGACGTCTGAAGCAAGACCTGACGTGAGCAGCCCCCCGCCCAGAGCTATATAAACGGCCCAGTCTCGTTCACGCCCCCTTTAGTCCTCCAGGCTACGCCCATTTCGAGGAAGATTTGAACAGGAAATGTGAGTGACGTAAACTCCGTGGAGCGGGGGTGAGAACCACTTTAATGTAGCATTAACCTAGCCTGGCCTTAGCCCTCCGTAAACTCTCTACATGTACGTCTGGGTCTGATCTTAGTGGCTGCAGTTACCTCGGTTGAATCCCCTCCAACCATTCAGCGAGCGGGGGAGGCGGGTGTCGTAGGTAGTTGTTGGGGACGTTTGCACAGAATTTACTAGTAGTTTGGCAATGGCGGCGAATTTGAAGAAATATCAAATATCAAGAAAATGGAGCCGGAGTAAGAGGAATGTTTTGCAAATTTCATTGCTAGCAAAGATGTTGTGGCTCTACTCCCCACGGACTCCGTTAGTTGCAAAGGAGATGGCAAAATGCTTAATTCCTCCGGCATTACCAATCGTTTCAATCTGCTCAATTGAGCAAATCCAGACCTGGTATCTGATGGTTTGGTAAGACCAGGTTAAAATGTTTGTATTACTGTATAGTTTTGAATTTTTTGCCAAATGTCCCCTGTTTTAAATTATGGTTTATCTAAAAAAAAAAAAAAAAAATTGAATATACAGTAGGTAGCATTGATGACGTCACACAACAGACACACCAGAAACTTTGCATTATTTCAAAACATTTTGTGAATGTTTGTACTTATTTTCAGCAAACACAAAACCACACCGACTTACACACACATCATATGTCACTTGATGAATTAGATTAGATTAAAGTGGTTCTTATATTTTGATATTTTTGATATTTTAGTGTTAAATGTGTTGGACCAATAACAACCAATAATAATAACAAGGAAAGCACATAAATAACCCGAATGATTTCTTTGCTCTTGACTGAGCACATTAGTGACTCGTTGTGAAAGAGGAATGCTTTATTGATTCTATCTACATTATTATGCCTTGTTTGAACCTGCTACAGATGTAGTATTTATCAGAGAGACAAAATCACAGATGGTTATGGACTTTTAATGGTTTCACTCATTATCATTTGTTAAAGCTGCTGGATTAGTCAGGTGGAAGCACGGCTGGAAGCAGATATATTATCTCATAATAATGCTGAAGGGGAGTTTTTCTTCAAATCTACAATTTATTGGGTATACTAAACATGCACCTACCACAATGTGCAGGCTGTATTGCTCTTGGTTACATAATGGCGTTCATTCTCTTAACTTTAAGTGCAGTGATTCCGCAAATTCTTACTCAGCATTCTCACCTACTTTTTTCAGCATTCATACATATTTTACCTGGGTTTTCAAGTAGAGGACTTGGGTGAACCCAGAGAAAACGCATGTAGAACCAGAATTTGAACCAATCTGAATGTACTTATAATGATTGGAAAACCCTTGATTAAATATGTGTTATGCGAGCAGTTTGAACATCTACAGTATATAATTTAAACTGGCATTTGCTAAATTGTTAATTTAATTACATACCTTTTTTTGCAGTTTATTGGCATAGCCCCTATTTAATTCAAAGTGAACTTCTGTTTTGCCTTAGTTGTGCTGTGGTCTTAGGTATTTCAGTGGCTAATGGACACCCACACACTTGACAGTGAAGTGACAGACATTAATTAAACCATATGGCCACGCTCTCCTTTATAAAGAGGCTCTGGACTCTCTGTCGGTGTCTAATGAACACATTAGACACCGACATATATAATGACTTCACTGAAACCTTGTACCTGCCTAAGCAACTTTTGTTTCATTTCACAACAAATCTGTCCCATTGAATATCTCTGTTTAAATAAAAAATGCCATGGACTTGTATTAGTTAAAGGTATAAAGGAGGATTTTCCAAAATTTTATGAAAGAACCGCCCTCTCCACTTTTTGAACAGAACTCTCTGGTCTTATTAGACGAGCACGTATCACCAGAATGATTGACAATTTGGAGGACCAATAGTCTTGATGAACCACCCCGAAGTAGAAAATCCCCCTCTATACCTTTTAATGTCACCAATGTCTCCGCACCACAATAGAAGAAAAAGGTTCTTGTTATATTAATAGGCCCGTTTTTCTTACTTTCTGTCCTAAGCTACCAAAAAGCATCACAGACAGCAGCTTTCCAGTCTGTACACTATTTTGTTGTCAGCTGTGCCTTTTTCCAACAAAAAACAGAATACAAATATTTTGAAATAAACAAAAGAAATCAATATGTCTACAATTTGTACCAAGCATCACTAACCAAATGGCACAGCGACCTTTTGAAAACAAATGAATAACATCATTTTTCACTGTTATGTCAAAGTAAGGATGTCACCTTATCAATTCAAATATAAATCTGTTTTCTATATGAGGAAAAAAAATCTTTTTTTATTTGGTTTATTTGTTTGACTTGACTCCAACTGACCAAAATATAAATGTTTTTTTGTTATATAATTTTGTATATTAAAATGACCTCAAGAGACAATATTTAAATGATTAATGAATTAAAAGCAGATCTTTCAATGTGTTTTTTAATGGAAATATAAAGAAGTTAAAATCACTTAATTGTTTATTACACAATGGCCCCTTTAAACAACTGTGTCTAATGCATGAATCTAAAATATATAAATTATCCAAATCAATTAGTTTCCAGAGTTGAACACAATTTAAATATGCAAGTTTATACACTTACATACGTCCTATTTCCTTATAAGGTCAAGCTGTTTCCAATGGCGTCCACCAGTGCTAATGAATCATAGACAACCTTTACGCCCAAAGCCCTTTGAGAAAACATTGTTGTCTGACCTATGGAGCGGCAACTTTATACTGTTGTGCGCTGTGGTGTTTTGTGTGTGCGAGGTTGAACAGTGCAGGCTAGTTTATTTAACACATTTGTCTTTTTAACCACTTGTTTAATTATTCATATGTGAATTGAGCACAGACGGATACAATCAATGAATGTTTGCCACAGAGAAATGCAAAGAAAACAGTGTGGGCTTAAAGGTAATATAGGCTGAAGTAACATGAGAAATTATAAAAGGATTTTTTCTTTTTAATTTCTTGTGCGTGTGCAAGTGTACAGTAGGGATGCAACGATACTCTGAAGTCACGGTTCGATACGTATTCCGGTTTTGATGTTCTTTTTCTAAACAAGCAAAAATAAGTGAAATCAGAATCACACTGTTACGGCAGGACAGGATTCTTAATCTGTCCATCACCTTCAAGAAGAACAACATTAACAGTCGCTGTTGGAATCAGTGTCCTTCCTCTGCTAATCCAGCACATCCAATTCAAAACATCTCCACTCAGTTCCAGGTTAATCCAGTTTTGTTTCAAAGCGAGAGCAGTTTTACTATCTGCACAGACCATAGACTGTATATATTAACGGACAGAGTCACGCCTATCTCCGCCGTTCAAACTAATGGGCCAAGAATTGTGCTCTACTGGAGCAATCCAAAATGGCTGCGAGTGGTCCCGCCCACAAGAAAATTGTGAAAAAACGCATCTGTGCATGCGTCAGCCGGAGCATCCATTCATTTAAACGAGTACCTTCAAAAATGCACAGCAACTAAACTAGAGTGGTCCAAAAAAATTCACTCCCCTCAGCATTGACACACATGTGGAACGGAGCTTTGGGCCAAGAGCCAACTTTTGGTCCATCCTGTAAAGACGTTTTCGAGAGGTAAGAAGATGCTATACGTTAGCATTGGCTAATTCTTATTCCGGGTCCACCCCCATCGCCCGGGGGGTGGTATTGCAAGCATGTCAGCGCACGTCATTTTGTACACCGGGACCCGCCCCCACTGGCACACACCAAGGATGCTATGGAGCTAGCTTAGCATCACTTTTATTGTGCATTTGAACCAATAATTCAGTCTTAAAGAGCTCTGTCTTTTATTCTCAGTGAGAAGAATTTTTTTTTTTACTTTTGTCTCACATTTAAAATCTAGCTGTGCGTCTTGTCACCTACAGTGTCTTCTCGATCAGCCGTCTTCTCGCAGTGACTCCGAACAGTGACAGACTCTGTACTCGTCTTGTGTAATATCTGCTTTGCTCCACTTTGTTCCACTTGGGAAAACTTTGACCCGGCAGCAGTCTCATTGTTCACCTTTATATCCTTGAGTGTGTTTAGAGGAAGGAGAGCATGGGAGCAGTGTGTTGCAAAAACAGGAGTAGCTACGTGGATCTCCAGGCAGTAGGCAGAGCGGCAAAGGAAATGTACCATTCGATTCATAACAAACAAATGTGTGTACCGATTGGGAGAGGGCGTATTTACCCATGGCAACCCTAATGCAGTGTTCCCTAACCTTTTTGAGCCATGGATCACCTTTTTCATTTAGAATAAAAAATAAATAATTATATATATATAATATATATAATCTCATTACACACCATTAGCTGTAACTGACACAAAAATGTTTTAGTTTGACATAGGCCTAATCAAAATATAGACAAAAAGGTAAAATGTTAAATCTCTTAGTGAACAATAGAATCATGCCATCATGATACGTCTGTACTGTACATGAGTCTGTGTAATGATGACAAACACAGGGAAGAGGTGGAGCTAACAGATTGTCGTTTGCAAAGGTGCGGAACAGCGGTTCAGTGTAATGTGGCCATTTCTCATTCACATTAACCTCGCCGTGCTGCGGCTTGTGACAATTATGGAGACAGATGTTTGGAAATATATAGAGAAAGAAACAAGAAGGAAGCATGTCTGACAGTATGTTAGTACACTTGGGATCTTTTTATTAAACCCTGCTTACACCAGACAAACACAAAGATTATTGTGTAACACTGGAAAAAAAATACAAGAAAATAAGATAACAATAAAATAACAAAATGCTTAAAATATGAAAAATGATCTGCCAATAGAACAAGAATATATGACTTGACAAGAGCAAAATAAGAAAATATTACTAGCCTCAAATGACTCATAGTTGTATCAAAAGTTGCATTCAAGAATTATTTACTTTTTTCTTTAAAACAAAAAAATATATATACTATGTGTGCCTATTGTCTAATTTATGTATTTAATTGCACTATGGGCTTTCTTCTGTGTCTGCAGCGCTGCTGACCTGTCGCCCAGATGAGTTCCAGTGCGGTGATGGTTCCTGTATCCATGGAACCAAACAGTGCAACAAAGTGCACGACTGTCCCGACTACAGCGACGAGGCCGGCTGCGTCAATGGTATGCTCACCTTACACCTGGACACACCATTAAATATACATTAGACTTGACTTAGCTTGATTAATGCTAAGAGCAATGATATGGTAACAGTCCCCCATTCTTAGTGGTGCAAGTATAAGTGCTCATAGTAAAGGTAAATAGGAGAATTTTCTACTTCCAGGTGGATCATCAAGACTATTGGTCCTCCCAATTGTCAATCATTCTGGTGGTACGTGCTTGTCAAATATGACCAGAGAGTTTTGTTCAAAAAGTGGAGATTTTTTCCTAAAAAAAAATTAAAATCATCCTATACACATAGGGTTGCCAACCGTCTCTTGAAATACGGAATTGTCCCGTATTATAGAAAAACTATGTGCGTCCCGTATTGAATGGATACGGGACGGCTTTTGTCTCGTATTTTCAGAGCACACACACACACGCACACACGCACAGTAATCACAGTTTAAGCGTCTACCTTTTGGCCAATCGGTGTCAAAGGGGCGTAGGCTTGATCACCTCCTTGGGTTTAATGTTGACAATCGCCAGCGTGGGTCGTGCCCGCAGCATCATTACGGCAGAAGTTTGGTAAAGTAGCGTCATTTTCCCAGATTCGGACTTCCGCGGTCAATAGCTCACGAAAGCTACTTTGTTAAACAAAAGTAATTGTGCTAAAATGATCATCTCTACGTTGATTTTACAAATCCAATGCGCTGTTTTAATGCAGAGAAATCCATTGAATCCAATGCACTGCAAACGCCAAGAAAAGCGCTTAGGGACCGTCAACAAATATCCAGACCAGCTTTGTAAACGAACAATAGCTTTTACGTGAAGCCATGTACATGCACTAAACTCTCAGACACTATAAATAATGACCATGTCTAACTGCTACAGACTTTGATTTCAACATTTGTGAGTTTTTTAAAAATGGATAATGTTTTTCTTTTTTAATTTGCTTGTACAGTAAATTGTCTTTACTGTAACACACAAAAATAATGTATGTTACAGCATTTGTCTTTTTTTATTTTTTATGACTAATAAGAATGCATTAAGTCCTTTTCCAGCCAAAGAGTTTCACCTGTTTATTTGGATTTGTTTTTTATATGTAGTCAATAAATTACATTTTAAAAACTGTGATTATGAAATTTCATATTACTGTGTGGATTGAAAATAGGACTAAAAAGTGCTCGACGCAATCCACCCAAATGGTGTCCCTTATTTTTTTGTTCTCAAGTTGGCAACCCTATATACACAGTACCTTTAAAGCTAGAGTATGAAGGTCCTGGTTTCGATTCTCTCATATTACTCCCATAGAAGAAATAAATATTTGCACTTGTGTAAAATATCTAAATTGTATAATAATAGATATCAGACTGGATATTGTCAGGAAATTCCTCCATGTTTGCCTTAAACCCACTTTGTTGCATAGGAAAGCCATTGAGCGTGGAACCAACAACACACACACACACAATTATTTCACTATAGCAAAGATATCACAGAAAGTTGCATATTAAATTGTATTTTTTTTTACATTGGGGCTCTGCAACGTTTTTATCCACACTTATCTCCTCTGGGTATTATTATAGTTATATAAGCAATTTCAGCGGTGCAGAAAAAATATAATAAAGTACTGCTATACTTTGTAGCTGCAAGCAAAACTGGACCACATTATAGAAACAAAAGGCATGTGCCAACTCAAACATATTGTATTCTGTCCATCAAAACAAGTGGAGTTGCAGATTTAAATAACATTACCGTTTACAAAGGAGAAGAATTGCTTATGTGTGCAATCATCCATATATTGTGTATATACATCGTGCTAATATTGTAGCATTTGTTTGTGAACATAAAATACTTATGGAATAACAGTAAATAGGGCAGCAGTCTGAGCAGAGACACTTCCCATTTCCACACTTCCTCCTGCTCATCCGGGGGAATCCCTATAGGCATTCCCAGGCCAGCTGAGTGACATTGTCCCCCCTGGGTCTTCTCTAGATTCTACTCTCGGTTGGACATGCCCGTAACACCTCCTCAGGGAAGCGTCCAGGAGGAATCCGAGCTCCTTGCGTTTGTCCGAGCTCTTCTCCCCATATCCAAGGGAGAGACTCATTTCGACCATTTGTATCCGTGATATTTAGGTCATTAACTTTCTGTAAAATGCATAGATTTGAGCTTACAGACATTCATTTGAACTTTAACCATAGACCTGGTATTTGCTCCTATCAAACCTCAAACCATCACGATGTGTATGAGGTACCGCTGCTGCTGTATGGACTTCTTTCCTTGTCTTCAAAGTCTATGAATATTTACACAGAGATGTTTCCACCAGTGACAAAGTGTGACGGCCCAAAGAAGTTCCGCTGTAAGAACGGGGAGTGCATCGACGGCAGCAAAGTGTGCGACAACGTGAAGGACTGCAAGGACTGGTCCGACGAGCCCATGAAAGAGTGTGGTGAGTTTCATGATCAGGCTTTTTATGTGTAGATGCATAAAGGAGTACAACTATGCTTTACTACTAAACTATATCACACGTTGAGCATGATTTAACAGTATTTTGCTACAATATTGATATTTGGCAGGTTTGGACAGATAACTACAGTAATCCTCGTTTTTTTGCAGTGTATAGATTCAGATTCAGATTCATTACATTTTCTGTATTAATGACCAGTACATGAATGAAACCTAGTAAAAGTACAGGAATAAAAGAAAAACAAATAACACTGAAATCGATCAAACTAAAACAGTTACATTAAAGTTCTTTGTTTAAACTGAGAACAGCTTTTACGAGATGTCCTGCATCTCAACAATCAATATCTTCTACCAGAGGGAAGAAGCTGGAACGTGGCTTTTCCAGGGGCCAGAGGAGTCATTGATAATTCTAAGAGCTCAATTTAAGAGTCTAAGATTGTTAACAATGAACCAGGCAACATTTGAACCCAATATTTTTAATCTAAGTTACATTTTATTTATATATTTCTTTTTGAATGAAAAATTGGTAAAGTAGATAAGAGAACTTTTATTCGTCCCACAATGTTGTTGTAGTGCACATGCAGAGCACAAAGTAAGAGCACAGACCACACAAGGAGCACGATAAATATACATAGATAAGTAGCCGTAAATGCTTCCTAACTTTTGCTTTAGTCTAGGGAGCACAAATGCAAAAGAATATTAATAGTATTCTATATCAAATCATAAATCCATTTTCAGAGCACAACACGTTTTTTACTCAAACATGCAAAAAAATAATCAAATGAATTTAGCTAATAACATGGGGACGGTAACAAACATTTTGTTATTTTACATTCAAAATCACGTTTTTGACATCTATGGGTTCAGCTCTACAAACATATGTATGCAGTCAGTTATATGTCATTTATGTGTGCTTCTACATCTAAATAAATTTGCCTTTATACTGTCTTCTAGTGGCGTTGCTTGTTTCTTTGAAGAAAACATAAAATCTGTCAAAAGAGCATAACACATTTGTGTGACTCCACCAGAAAATTGAAGGTGCACTTGCGAATTAACAAATAATTTGCCTCACTGGAAATAATTTGACACTTTTGATTTTGAATATCGACAAATCCAAATTTTGCAGGTGGCATGTATCACAGTTGCCAACATTTACAAAACAACAACACAAAAGTTACAAGCTATACATGTAATCCTGCTCATAGAACAGCAATGATTCTTCAGCCTTACAGCTTTTGTGCAACAACTTTTTATGCGTTTCCTTTACTTAAATCAGTTGTTGGGATCAAAACCTCATCTATAGGACCAAACGTGACCGGACTACAGCCCCATAAGAGCCCTGTGTGTTATCATCATGCTATAGATAATCACCACTTAAGCCTCAGTCACTGGTCTCCTCAACAACCGAAAAGCGGAGAGGTCTATAGGAATGAAATATACAGTCTAAAAGTCAGATGTGAGCACTTTGATACAGTGTAATGATGTGGCCCACCGAGCATATTATTATCCATAGGCGTGATTTTACGGCAATCCCACGTCGTCTTATGATTGAACTGTTACACACATTACAAGGGTGCTGTCACCTCCACCCAAGGTCAGTGTGGAAAATGCAGCAATTATATGAATAGATGTGATTTAAACACTTTTTCTGTGCAATTTGTTGTTAAAATTGTATGTTATGATATATAACTAGTGAGGTCTCCGTTCCACTTATCTTCAAAAACTACAATACATCCAGAACTCTGCCCCCCGCCTGCTCACCCTCACCCGCTCTAGAGACCACATCACCCCTGTCCTCTTTGTGTCTCTTTCCTTAATTTTGCTCTTCTATGTAAAGCGTCTTTGGGTGTCCAATAAAGCGCTGTATAAGTTTGATGCAGTATTATTATTTTCATTATAAGATGATAATGGATAGCACTCGAATCCCGGTCAGAACAGAGCCTTTCTGAGTGGAGTTTGCATGTTCTCCCCGTGTCTGCGTAGGTTTCCTCCGGGTGTTCCGGTTTCCCCTACCACTAAAAACATGTACAATAGGTCTGGCATGGGCCTCCTTTACTGGCGGCCCTGCTTCCATCTCTGTGTGGAGTGAGAGGACAAATTCCCACAACTCACTTTTAATCATACAATACAAGATACCAGAATTTTTTTGCCATTTGCAGTAAAACCACATTGTAAAAACTGTGCTAGACTATTCCAGTGTGCACCAGACAGGGAAGACGGCACACACCAGAGTATACACTGTAGTATGAGGCTAAAACTGCTGTAATGTCTCATACAAATATGTATTGTATTGGAAGTTTGTGTAAGCTCTCAGTCGTACAGGGATTAGTCAAAGCAAAGGAAGGTTTCTCACCCATCATCTGTACTTCTTAGCAAGTTTTCCCGACGTTTCGTCCTCAACCTAGCGGACTTCTTCAGGGAATGAATTCTCGGACCGCGCGTTGGAGATTTATAACCTATGGGTGTGGTTAGCCACACCCTAATCCTGATACTAACTCATAAACAATCTACGGTCTGCTTGATGTAGAAGGGAGCAGGTCTAACGACCCTGCTGAGGCTAACGACCCTAACTCCTTAGCATGTCACAGACCTATTGTCTGCTGGGATGCTCAAGTGGAGTGCAGGTCTCACCCCTCCTAACTCATTAGCATGTCACTGACCCTGTCCCAAGTTAGGGCGTTGTTGTATTGGAAGTTCATATAGTTGCAGCAGATGCCCAGTGCTTTATCCAATCCTTCCTTACTCTTGGTCTATTTTTGGTCCAATAGTCTCTGCCAGTGCAGCTTTGGTCTCTACCTGTATCCTCCGAGCCTAAATGTTTAATGTAAAAGTGTAATGAGCTAGTTCACGTTCACGGCGCTCCCTAAAGGCTCTTCTGAAAGACAAAGGGATAAGTGAAGGATGAGAAACGGAAACGCTGTAGAAGCAGGATGACTGACAAGAGAGCAAAGCGCTGCTCTGAGAAAAGAGTGAGTGAGAGGGAGAGAAGTACCAGGTTACAGCAATGCATTTGGATTTGCACCAAGCAAATAAAACAAAAACCCATTTTTGAAAAAAATACTGTAATTTTGACTGAATTAAACTTGTCTAAATTAATATAAAAACAATGAAATAAACATTGGATTATGAACCCACTAATCAGCATTGTCGAGAACAAGAAATTAAAGTCATGTTGGACCAGACTTTAGATTCTTGTTCTCGACAATCGACTATCCACCAAAATAACAAACGCTAGACATCATTTGTACTTTTTTAATGTTTTTATTTGTTCATTGAGTTCACGACTTTCAGCTTAGATATGAACCAAGTGTGAAGTAGTGTGAAATTATCACAAAATAAGACTTTGAACTGAACTAGATGGAATAATGAGAAGTGACTTCCCATTATTACATCAATAGTTTGGGTTTTCTTATAGATTTAAATCAATGTGAAGTAAATGTTGTGTGCATATGAACAATGGTCCAGTTCTCAATTTTTAAAGAAATTAAAATACTAAATAAATTTAACACATTTCAGCTATTTAAAATCTTCAAAGTAAACTGCAGCCTTAAAACACTCAAATACACATTATGTCATGTTACAACCTAGAGATTTTAGTTTGGATTTTTTTTTTTTTTTTATGAAAGACCACAACACATTAACTGATGATCCAGTATTAATTCATTAACACTTTGTGGAATGTGTAATTCAAACTTTGTGGAACCTTTTTTCGGGGTCTAACTTAACACGTCTTGAGAAAAAAGTAGTGTATACATCACCACCTCCTCCAGACGTTTTCTCTGCTCTTCTTTACAGGAGTAAACGAGTGTGCTGACCATAACGGAGGCTGCTCCCATCTCTGCAGAGACCGCCGCATCGGCTACGAATGCGATTGTCCGCCCGGATACAAGCTCCTGGACAAGAAGACGTGTGGAGGTAACATTCTGTACATTACTGTTTCTGACCAACATTTAGGTCTATGTAAGTAAGATTCTACAGCAGTTTAATTTTATGCTGAATTTAGAGACAAATTATTTTCATCAATATTGATCGGGCTATTAATACAAAGAAACAAATTGTGCCTATTTTATGGCAGGGGTCAAACCTTTAAGTCTCAATATCTCGGAAAGAATGAAGGCTGAGCCTTTCCACTCTGAGGGTTGGAATACAGTTCTACTATCCATGCCAGATGTGACATGTAAATTTATCCTGTGTGAGATCAATAAAGTCTATCTTATCTTCACATATGTCACATTTTGCACAGAGCAGTTCGGCCACAATCTCTTTTTCAAACTGTATGTTGTATGAGGCTTAGAAAGTTATTAAGACAAAAAAAATAAACCTAGCATTGTTTAATTACCTGACATGTTTGGGCGGTAGATTTCCGCCTTTGTCAGAGGTGTTGCCAGATAAGAGACTCGTTACACCATCTTTGTCATCTCTGACGAAGGCAAAAGTCTACTGCTGAAATATGTCGGGTAATTAAGCAGTACTAGCTTTCTGTTTTTATTTTTCATTTTTATTTTTTGGGGCTGGTTCTCTGTGCAGCTCTGACTAGTTTAGTTTAGTTTAGTATATTGTATATAAAACAGGGACAATGTACAAAACCATTAGTCTTTACAAAAGAAGAGATGGTTTGCACCAGATTTAGCTTCAGCTACTTTCCATCTGTTGTCCCTGGGCAGGTGAACACACACAGATAAACACATCACAAATATAAAAGCAAACTTACCTAACACAGAAATACAATCATATATACATTAAATGTTTTCCTAAAATAACATAGGATAAAAAAAAAAAATTCTAATGCTATTAATGTTCATAAATGTTGACACGATTGACTCTCTAACAAACACCCCTGACCTAGACATGAATGAAGGGGAAGAAGATGAATTGATGGATGGATAGCTTTCTTTACTTTTGTGTCTTATTAAAAGAACCTTCTAAGCCTTAGAAATAAGACAAAATGATTTTTTTACATGTATGTTGTATGGTCTTCTCCCTCTCAGACATAAACGAGTGTGAGAACCCAGATGCCTGCAGCCAGGTCTGCATCAACTACAAAGGAGACTTCAAGTGTGAGTGCTACGAAGGCTTCGAGATGGACCCTGTATCAAAGGCCTGCAAGGCTGTCGGTAAGACAATTACAACAGTTTTTATATATTTTATACATTTGCAGAACTTTCAATCAGAATAGACTTGTTTCAGCCTGGCACATAACATGGATTTCAAGAGGTAAACAATTGGCGTACCTGTATTCTGTAACTTGTGATACAGCCCTGATATATTCCTACTCTGGGACAAATAAAGCCTCTCTTAATCTTATTTTTCATTAAAGAATATAATACTTAAAATGTTCAATTGCATCCACATCTTTTATATCTATCCCCAGCAATACCCACCAATAATTTATATTTGACCTTTTACAAGCAACAGTTTAAAGATGTCCATTCTTGACCATGATGTCCATAATATTTATGTTTAGGATTTCCAAGCAGATTATCCAATCAGAGAGCAGAAGGACTTGTTTACCAAATTGTTTTCAACCTAAAAAAATCAACACAATTTTAAACCAGGTACAAGATTAAGTAGTAATGTGTAATGCACAGAGTTTCTAGCTCAACCCCAGCAGTTGGTTTGCATCAGTAATGTTTGCTTAGTAGCTACGGTGTCACAGGCAGGAAGATTGTGGCTATAAGAGATGGATTGTGAATTCAGCACCTTGTTTTTCATAACATTTTGAACATATTTTGAGCCTACTTTCATATGATAAGAATTAGCATATTTTCTCATTAAAAAGTAAGAAATTGCCTATGTTTTTTTTTATTGAAACGGAGCAAACAGTCCAAGGTTAAATGCTACTCCTCTCCTCAGACGAACATTTAGAAAAATAATGATTCATAGTAATGTCGTGACCTCTTCTTAAGATCTTCCGTTATTACATTACCATAGCAACTACTTAGTGCACATCCTATACCTCGGTAAACACGGCCTTGCTTTGTATGCAGGTACGACTCTGCAAACTGAGAAAAGATAAATATTTGCCATCTTTCCCCGGCAGCTTCTCACTAATGAAAAGTTTGCAGCCAGCTGTCTCTGTGCTCCCTGGAGTGTGGAGTGGGGAGTGTGGACTGGGGCAGAGTGGTTTGACTGGGATGAACTTGACCAGGAGCGATGAATGATACACATGTGTTTGAAGAGCACCGGACAGACACAGAGTTGGAAATGGATTTGAATGAGTGAATGAAGAGGGGGCGACAGTGGCTCAGTTGGTGGAGCACTGGTCTTTGGACCTAATGGTCGTGGATTCGATCCCACCACAGTAATTGTAAAGTGGATTCATGAGAAGGACTTGGAAATCTGTCTGTCTCCAAACTCAGAGTCTGAAAAGATGAATTTAATTTCACACAAAAACAATAAAATGTCTACTCCATTACTGATGAAACCCCTGACAAAACCCATTTTCAGAACCAAATTAGTGAACATGTAATGAACATGGGCCCCTCTGTACCCCTCTCACCCCCAGCCCCTCCACAGGTGCCTGTCACATCACACCCTCCACAACCCCTCTTCGCTCCCACAACACTGCTGGTGGGTGACTCCATCATCCGTAGATGTAGGTTTTTTAACGCCACCACGCACTGCTTTCCCGGAGCCACAGTCACCACTCTACTTCATACACTTCCTAAACTTCTCCAAACTGCCCCAAGCACAATAACCCGGATCATCGTCCATGTTGGTACCAACGATACATCACTCCGCCAGTCTGAGAACACAAAACTCCATTTTCAGGACCTTTTTAAACTGCTATCAGAGACTGGAAAAACTGTTTTTATCTCTGGCCCTCTGCCCACTCTGGCCCGTGGCGGGGAGCGTTTTAGCAGAATTTTATCACTTAACACCTGGCTCAATCATTCGTCACTCCAACACAACTTTGCTTTTATAGACAATTTTAATCTGTTCTGGGACCGCCCCCTCTTCTTCCAACGAGATGGACTTCATATCACCCCCCTTGGCAACCGGTACCTCACTTCCAACATCATCCACACAGTTCAATCCCGCTCCATATATTTCTGACAACCCACTACCGCATCCCCATCTCTCACCTGCTCCGTCACCCCTCAACACCAGCCCCTCTTCTCCCCAGCACAAGATCCCAGCCATATCCAGACCCCGTCCCTACAGACCCTCCAGTTCCAGGAAACCATGTCTCACCAACCTCATCCCTGTTGCCCTCCCTCCTTCCACGTCCTCTGCTCCTCACCACGTCCCTTTGAACTCTGAACTTGCAAAAAATAAATCTGCCTCAAAAGGTACACCGCCAACACCTCTTTTAACCATAAGCCTAGCTCTTTTAAATGTACGTTCTCTTTTAAACAAGACTTTTATCATTCATGATCTTATTTTAGAAAAAAACCTGGATGTTATGTTCTTAACTGAGACCTGGCTTGGTTCAGATGCATCGGCTATTCTCACAGAGGCCTCTCCCCCAAATTTTAGCTTTGCTTTTACCACAAGAGAAGGGAAAAGGGGCGGTGGCACAGCCTCACTATGCACTAACACTCTTGCCACCAAACCTATCACTTTTAACCAATACTCAAGTTTTGAATATCTTTCTCTTGTTTTTAGCAACCCCAAAATTTTAGCAGTCATAATTTATAGGCCACCAAAGAGGGGCTGCCGTTTTATTAAGGAATTCTCAGAGTTTTTATCAGTTATATACAATTCTTATGATATGATTCTTCTAACCGGTGATTTTAACATACACATCAACAATCCCTCAGATAATTTTTCCAATGAGTTCTTAAATGTCCTTAATTACATGGATTTTACCCAACACGTCACACAGCCAACGCACGACAGAGGACGCACCCTCGACCTGGTCATTACTCATGGCTTGACTGCGGATGTGTCCTCTGTTGTCGACCTGGCTGTCTCTGACCACTACTGCGTGTTTTTTAACATCACTGGTTTTATCCAGCGTGAGACCTCTGTGAGAACCGTGAGGAAGCGACATCTAACCCCTGAAGTGGCTGCAAATTTTATAGACATTCTTAATAACACTCCTCACTTGGTTTTACCCGCCCCCTGTGATCTGTTAGCAAATGATTTTAACAGTAGACTCAAAACTACGTTAGATCAGGTTGCTCCTTTGAAAACAAAAACTACCGGAACAAAATCTGTACCCCCATGGAGGAACGAAGAAGTAAGGAGAATGAAAAGAGAGTGCAGGGTGGCGGAACGTAGGTGGAGGAAAAACAAAACAACAATCAATTACGAAATGTACAGTAACCAACAAAAAACATACAACAAAACAATTAGGAAAAACCGAAACAATTATTTCTCAAAACTAATCACCCAAAACAAAAACAATGCGAAAGTCCTATTTTCAACCATTGACACCATTTTAAACCCTGATTTTAGCATGTCTCGTTTAACCCCCACAGACTCCCTCTGTGAGGATTTTGCAGTCCACTTCATGGGGAAGATAAACACAATCAGATGTAACATTTTATCCAATTGTACTACTGTTTTTAACACATCTGATTGTTTGTCTTCACCAGAGGAAACACTGGACAGTTTTGTCCTGGTTGATGCTGAGATGCTTGATAAAGTTTTCTCCTCAGTGAGGCCCACCACATGTCTTTTAGATCCAGTCCCCACTCCATTTTTTAAGTCATTTTATGAATCTTTTAGAGAGGAGCTTTTAAACCTGATGAATTGCTCTCTTCAGACTGGGGTCTTTCCTGCAGCCTTCAAAGCGGCTGTGGTGAGACCCCTTCTGAAGAAGAGCAATTTAGATTTTAATGATCTTAACAACTACAGACCGGTGTCCAACTTACCATTTTTAAGCAAAATTTTAGAAAAACTTGTTTTTACCCAGCTCAATGCCTTTTTAGATCAACAGCAAATTTTAGAGACATTTCAATCAGGTTTTAGGGTGAACCACAGCACAGAGACGGCTCTTTTAAAGATTTTAAATGATTTTAGATTAAATTATGATTCTAAAAAGGTGACTGTGTTGGTTCTACTGGATCTTAGCGCTGCCTTCGACACAGTAGACCACACCATTCTTTTATCCCGCCTGAACCACCTTGGACTCTCTGGTGCTGTCCACAAATGGTTCACTTCTTATTTAACAGACAGATCCTTCATGGTAAGTTTGGATACCTGCTCCTCTCAGGTCCATAAAATCACATGTGGTGTGCCCCAGGGTTCCATTTTAGGTCCAGTCCTTTTTAACGTGTACATGCTCCCTCTTGGCGGTGTCATCAGGAGACATGGAATTAACTTCCACAGTTATGCAGATGATACTCAGCTGTACATCTCCATGTCTCCTGATGACACCAGGCCAATGGATGCTCTTTTTAACTGCATTTTAGACCTGAAATCCTGGATGGCAGAAAACTTTCTCCAGCTTAACCAGGACAAAACTGAGGTTTTAGTCATCGGCCCTGAGGCCCAGAGAGAGAAACTTTTACCAAAACTCCAATCACACTCTTTTAATCCATCACCACATGTGAAAAACCTGGGCGTAATTTTTGACTCTGAGCTGACTTTTATTCCTCACATTAAGAATATAACAAAAATAGGTTTTTATCATTTGAAGAACATCGCCAGAGTCCGCCCCATTCTCTCTCGGGGCAACACGGAGACGCTGATGCATGCTTTTATCACCAGTCGCATTGACTACTGTAATGCCCTGCTCTCTGGTCTTCCCAAAAAGAACATTTCAGGTTTACAATTACTCCAAAACTCGGCCGCACGTGTCCTGACTAAGACCAGGGGGCGGGACCACATTACACCGGTTTTAAAATCGCTGCATTGGCTCCCCGTGTGTTTCAGGATTGATTTTAAGGTTCTCCTAATGGTTTTCAAATGTCTTAATGGTCTTGGGCCTTCTTATCTTTCAGAACTGCTTTTATCCTATGAACCCTCCCGGCCCCTGCGCTCCTCCGGCAGCAGACTCCTAACCATTCCAAAAGTCAGGACACACACTCACGGTGAGGCTCTTTCCAACACTACGGCCCCCGTCTCTGGAACAGTCTGCCGGAGGAGCTCAGGGCCGCAGAGAACGTTCATATTTTTAAAGCCAGGCTCAAGACACACCTTTTTAGATTAGCTTTTGATTAGT